TGCGTTCTGGCGTTTAGAGCTTCATTACAGGCTAAAGTTTCTTTGATTAAATTTTTTTTAAGCTTTTTATATTCGTTATAGAAGTTGTCATTATCGATATTTCATTCAAAGATTAACACTAAGGATTCAAAAGTTTTTTTATCTAGAGCTAATTCAGCCTTTCGCTCTTCAATAATATTATATTGGGAGTATGTAATTGACCTATTTTTATCAGATATTTCAGGTATATTAGTTGATTCATTTAAAAGGTTTTGTGAAGAATTATTCCAAGGATTATTAATTGAATTAATTCTTGGAATTTTATCTTTCTCAAAGTAGATTAAAGGATAATCATGCCACCGAATTGTGTTTAGAAATTGTGAAAAAATTTTTGGATTATTTGTAATATAGGTTTTTATCCGGCATTTTACTATGACCAGACTGCCAAATAAATTTATTATTTGGCAATGATCTGTAGTTTATGTGAGTTTATTTTTGTTATTTGGCAGTTCGATCCTTTTTTTATTCGTTATTCTGGACGTCGACGTCTGTTTATTTAAGTTTATTTGAGTTTAACACGTTTTTAAAACTCCATTACGTTAAGTCAAGAACCAATAAGGATGAAAGTACGTGTATATTTTTTAAATTCTCGTGAATTCGACTAACATTGTGAATAACGATATTATTTAAAATTCCAGTGAATTGGGCCAGCACAATTAATAGCGAAAGCATTTTTTTCATAACTTGATTAAAACAATCTGTAACGTAAATATAATATAAGTGTATAATATAAATATTATTTGCTTACAACACTTAAAATTTTATTATTGGCTTATTATGCAGCATATTTGAAGTATAATTAATTGTTTAATTAATAGTAACGTGTTCGGTTAATATAATAATTCTTTATGGTCGTGCCGGCATCATTATTTACTTTAAATTCTTGATCTTGAAAATGCATTTTAAAAATAAAAAAAAATTAATAAAAATCTATTGATTGTATCAATTATTAAAAAATACAATAATTAATATATAATACCTTTAGGTTCTTGTGTTGGTTTACCATTTCTACGAATAAGTCAGCGACCACCAAGAGTAAGCACAGGTTTAGATGCATTAATATATAATGGAAGATTTTTGTTGAAAGTGGTTGACGAAAAGGTTTAGTTAAAGATGATTTATCTTTAATTGGTGGTGTTGCTTAAAGGAACTATAAAATAAAAAAAGTTAAAAAAAAAAAAAAGATAATAGTAAATAAATACTGTGCACCTACTTGATCATTTGATGAAGGTAATGTTCCTACACTACTGATTAGTTAAGATAATGCTTCTTCCTTTTGTTTATTTGATGGGCATGTATAAATTCTATACGAAGATTCACTTTTATGGCCTGTAATAGACATTGTTGTAACAAGGGAACGCC